TTAAAAGACAGTCGATTTGGATTTTGATCATTAGCATCAAATATTTCAACTACTTGAATACCATCACTATTAGTTGAAACTACAAATATATCCAAAGATTTTTCATTGATCATTTCAAACAGTGCTCTGGATCGAGATTGATCTACAAGATTCTCCGGTGGAAATAGATGAAAAGACACTTTTAAAGCCTATAAAATCATAAAGGTAGGTAAAAAAAACAAATATATTCTGCAATAAGTATAAAATAATCTTGTCATATAAATATCAAAATTTAATAAATGATTATGATATACTCAATAATAGTTTTTGAACAGAGGTATGCTTTTAAGATAAAATAAAATAAGTTCTTAAAACATTGAATCAGGCAAATTATTACCTGAGGGCCAATTGAAGACAACAATAAATCAAATGACTGCAAATCGATAAATTTATCTTGATCAATGAAACCATAGTTACCATAGTCAATGAAGAATACTTTGAACTATAAACAGATATAAATATATATGTATATAATAGAAATTTATATATATATATATGTGTGTGTGTGTGTGTGTGTGTGTGTGTATGTGTATACATAAATACATATCAATTTTACTCTGTRTAAAAATAACTGACCTTTTGGTCAGTAAATATAAAATCATGGATTATTGCTCTGCTCCACAAATGAAGATCTGGGCATTTAACAAGATATAACTTATGAGGCGAAATGCTGTTTTTGGAATACAGATTGTCAAGAGGTTGAGATACTGAAATAGAATCTAGTATAGATTCCATAATTGTCAATGTCTCATTTGGTGGATGTAGATAAACATAACCATCAGCAATATAAGCAAGACTAGCTTTTTCACTTTTTTCATGAATCTAGAAATTATTGAAAAAAATAAATTAATGGTACTTATTACTTATATAAACTATTAATTAAAAATGTTCAAACTCCATAAAATTTAATAATAATGTAATGAAAAGGTTATTTTCTTTATCAAAGAATAATGAGTTTTAGTTTAATTATTCAATTTACTGCACATTTAAATAAGTTATTCAGTCTAAGTACTAATATTAAGAGACTTTTCATATTATTGTAATAATACATGTATACCTATTACTTGTATGTAAAATAAA